ATTTGAAGGGGTACCCCTTGGAAAAATCTCGGAAAAATCGAAAATTTTTTTTTGTTGTTTATTATTAGCAATGTTCTTCCGACGTCTGATTTCTTTTTAAAAAATGTGTTTCTAAAGTGCATAAACTTTTGGGATTGACTGTATAGCCAATACATCCTTAATCGTATATTGTCGAGCGCCGCTTACTTTGCGAACCGGCGCCAAACGATGCAGGCGTTGGAATCTGTGGTCACACTGGCGTTGGGATGATAAGACATCGCCGTCGGACATCGCTTCTTTTCCATATCCGCGTAGTACCAGAGAAGTTGGTTTAAGCCTGTGAGCAGTAATCCGGCCGCGGCGTTTTATAAGATTTATAGAAACCGGCAATTTACAATCGGGTTCATCGAGTATGATATATTACCGCAGGAAAACGCGAAGAGTACTAGTACGTAGAGAAAGAAGAACTTCATAATGTCCATCACCATTCTGGACAGCGAGACTTGTAGTGGTCCGAGGTGAGGATTCACGGAGAAAATGTAGACTAGTTTCAGGGAGCTGCAAGTAGAAGAGGCGCAGGTTTGATCGTACGTGCGGCTGAAAAGGCGTGGAATTGAAAAATTTCCATTGAAAGAGTCGGACTCTAATTAGTTCTCTCGGGACTTTACGGAGTACGCGTAAAAGGAATCCATTAAACCGTGTTACTGTAATTCGCGATTAACTTTTCCAAATGAAACCGTGTCCCGTTTCACGCGTCGCGAACACGCTATTAAAGCCGTCTCGACTTTCAATTTCTTTCATAATGACAAATAACTTAGATCACATCTAAATGGGATTCAATCTCCTTCGGCATATTTCATTCCAACGAAGGTGTTGAACGAATGCAGTTTTAATTACACGATTTGTTTCGTAAATGGGGAAACTCATTGATAGATGCTTGTAAGTTGTAAATTAAATTGAGGAGTTTGAATTGTAGTACAGACCTGAATATGTTAGCGGCAGAGAAGAGACCCTCGGATATGAGCATTGGGTCCCACGTGTCCCATTGTTCGCGTTGGAGTTCATTCACTGAGCCAGGTATCTCTCTCTCCTTTTGCACCCTGTAGTAAGCGACTACCCTTAACGCGGCCGTCGCCACGTACAGCGAGTTTGTGACGAAGTCGATTACGTTCCACATGTCGTTAACGTATTCCTCGAGGCCCACGTCCCATAGTTGCTTCACCTCCGACCAAATCAGACCGGACACCCATGCCAAGATGAACCTGCGACAACGTTTTTCACGTTCTGCCTTCGATTTTCGCTCAGTGATCGACCGACCCGCGGGAGAACTTGGAAAATCGCTCGGAAGCAAACTCGATTATCGAGTGTCAGTTCGGGAAAGAAATCCTTTCGAATGTTGTCACTTGGGGACGAGTGGCAATCGAGGGCATTTATTTTTTGAAAGTTCGTGTTCTACTTGTACTTGTCTTTATTTGATCGTAGCGGAGGTATCACCTGAGGGAAACATTCTTAGGAAGTAGAACGGGTGACTTCCTGTTTTGTTTCATTTCGTTCGCTCGGGTCCCTAGCTCGTTGCGGGTTAAAAAAACATTGACTTACCATTCGACGATAGTCGGTGCAGCACCCCTTTTCGTGGGCTCGTGTTCCACGTCGTCGTGCGGCACGTCGTGTCCCGTCCAATTCCCAATCACGCTTTCTATCCTTTGACTAGCCAGAATCAACATAACTGCGAACAGCCATGTACCGATGTCATTTTTTAAATAACTATTTTATTCTTTCGGAACTCAAGCAGAAATAAAAAATTTGGAGACTTTTGGCAAGGCTGACGAATTTATTTGTCGGGAATCGCAGTTATAGTCGTAGCTCCGGTTCTACAATTTCCTATTTATTTTTAACAATAAATATGTTAAAAAAATTGCGTGTGAAGGAAACCAAAAATAGAAATAAATTTTCTATCATATTACTGTTACACTCTAATAAATTCTGAGACAAGTTAAAGAGATTAGAATTACATAAATTATGCTAATCGGATCTTCGGTGGAATTTAACGATCTCGATGAGGAGTTAAGAAAGCACGTTCGTAGTCTGCTCGTGACGGTAACCGCACAATACAACCAACGATATTCACTTCGCTTGTTCTCGCATAATTTTCCAAAATTCCGTACGCTCCGTACTTCGCGGCCCCTCCAAGAGGAGTACACATTATGTCTCTGGCCCGTGACTATAAACGTCATTAATCTAACTTCGAGGTCAATTAAGGTTTTCGAGGCTTCGCGCATCTCCGGCTCTTGGGAACTCCACGAATTTCAAACTATCTAACCATTTGTAATTAAAATTTAAAGTTAAATCAATGATACGCATAATCCTCCGCGACAAGTGAAAAGAACTTCATAAATGTTCTTTATGAAGAGGCATGATGGTATTAAATTATTCTGCTCTTCAATAAACCTTCAAACAAACCGGTTTCCTGTTTACTGCGAGATGTTTGTCATTCGCCGTAGGATTGATGGTTGATACGTCTCAAATTTAGAGCATTACCGCACTCCGCTATTATTGGTACTGAGAGAGGCGTTTGCCGTGAGAGGTATTTCTAATCGGTGACGTGGCGAAAGGTAAAATACATCGTCGAGGACGGACAGATTCGATAAACTGTCAGGAGAAAACCCGTAAGTAAAGCGGCTCTCATTCATTCTCGCTTTACGTTTCAAAAATCGACTGATTTTTTAATCGACTTGTTTACACTTATCTACTTCCGTTCAATAATAAAAGTGCTAATACTGTTCCAGCGGTTACACGATTCTCGTACGATCGTAATAGATACGACGGTGAAAAATGTGTATCTTTTGCTATCATGCTTAAACAGATTTTAAATGATACTCACAGAGGAAAGTGAAGTACGAGGCCGAGTGACAGATGAATTTGATGAACGGTTTCCTCATTGTTTGTCCCACGACGCTATGAGGCGCGATTATGTATCCGACGCTGAAGAATGGGAATAGCACGCCTATCCTGACGATTTCCAATACTTGAAGGAACATGTTTTTCCTTCGGAACCCGGGTAGGCCCTCGTACCAAATCGATGCCAATAGCTGTTGCACGTTAGGATGCGCGACGAACTGGAAATTCCGCGATAATCTAATATCGGTCGGCACAGTTTCCGGTCATGTCGCTAGGAAATTGTACTTATTATGATCTAATGTCAGAGTTAGAACTGCTCGTAAGTCGATCCACGTCCCAGGCCTTCCTAAACGACGTTACATCGATACTATCGAGATTTTTACCGCTATCAAACCAATCACTACTATTTAACGTTCAATCAAATTAAGGAAAAGTTAGACAGCAAGACGTCAAGTAAGATGGTGAATATCATTTTTGTTTAATCTCACGAAATTATGATTTTATTCTTTGTAACTCGTGATTCGAGCTTTACGAATCAATGAGAGCTTAGAGCAATGCACTTTTAATCGTTTATTGCGCAACGCTTAAAAATGTCATACCTTCTTTTGTCGAAATTTAATGGCCAGCTTCAATCGGTTCAGGTGCATTCGCTTCCCGTGTTCGTATGCCGGCCCAGTGGGGTCGTAATTTAAAAGAACCTCCAACTCGTTCGAGCTCCTCGTGTGATCCAGTAAAGCCGTGGCGAAGTCCTGGCATTGCCTCCTGAGTTCCTAGAATCGCAAAACTGCGATTTTAGAGAACAATTCCACGGACAAAGCAATGGAAAAACAAAGCCGTTTTCGTTGGACGTGTTACACAACGTATCGCAAGCTCTCACGTCGGTGAACAAAAAAGCTTCTCGCTGGAACGCGCAAGAAGCAACTTTTCCCTCGAGGTAACTCAGAGAAGACATGCGCCGAATGTTAAGGGACATGCCTCGATGTTCGGAAGCAAATTACGAGGAGGAGTGTGAACGAGAGGGTTAAAAAGATTTGGATCGCGGCCAAGTCGTTCGTCAATCGAGGGCACAATCGAGCACTCGATGCAGAGGCTCGAGGTATGCGAAAAAAAAGCGCGAGGCAATCTCGCGGAAACTTCATCCCGACGGTGATAAAAGGCGGGAGAGGGTAATTTATTCCCGTTTAACGTCCGCCGATCTCTCGGAAGATTTAAGCGACCATCTCGAGCAATTTGTTCGAACGTTATTGTGTTCAAATTGACGGGCGCGAAAAAGTGTAATTGTTTAAATAAAAGGTCAACGGCGCGTGAAGCAATTTCGAGAATGAATGGCGTCGAATTGCATGAATAAAGAAACAGATTTGGTGGTAATCAAGTGACGAAGGAATTCAATTGTTTCGTTCCTATTGTCAAATGTCAGCATAGACTTGATTACTACTATCGATCAATGTATTTTTCTGTCTCACGTCTTTTAAAGTCTGAAGCGCCACTCGGTTGAGTGAAACTTGAACGGGTGAGGTGAAACTTTATTCGTATAAAAAATGTTTGCAACACAACGAATCTATGAGATGTCGATTTCGTTAGACTCGAGATGGCCAACATCGATAAACCGTCGCTCGATACGACGAGAAAAGACTCGGCGGTTTCTACCGTGCGAAGGGGGCAAGACGAACGAGACTAGATTCTCCATAATTTATCCTCGTTTAACCGTTTGCCGATAGCGGCCGGCTTAATCAATTCGCTATCAGAGGCGATTTATTTTTGTCCCTCGAACAAGGCTTCATTAACGACGAACCAGAGGAATGCTGTCGCATCGTGAAAATGCTTCCTGTATTCATTATTCCATCGAATTTCTGTTAAGAAATTCAGAAAAGACAGTGTCTGTCTGGGAAAAGATACAAATCGACGCGACGCCCTAACGAACTGGGATACCGTTGGATACTCGTTTCATCTGCGGCCGCGAGCCAAAGCAAACATTTACGACATCAAAGGGGCATACCAAACTGCGCAAACTGTTCGCTAATATCGTACTTCGCGGCCTACCTAACGAGACGTTAATATCCGCTATCGATGCGGCCGTGAAACCTTCGCCAGATCGTTTCTCTGACCATAGGTCTCTCCCGAAGGAAAGACAATCCGAGGTATTATAAGATCGCGTAAGTGTGAACGCGAATGAGCCAACACGTGTGTCCCGGTTTCTGTTTACACGGTTTAACAACGAGTGCGTTTGCAACGCGGAAACGAGGACGGTTCGAATACACAACGACGAAATAAGCAGAACAAACTCGAGCTGGAAAATTGCGAGAACCGAGTTTCTTCTTCAAATATCATTTTTAGGATTTCCGTCCCTCGGCAGAACGACGCCGCCAGGTTTTTCGTCGACTCGTAAGAGGAGTCTTGAGTAAACAATTTCTACGGAAATGCCTCTGCGATGTATCGATTTGCATTGTATGGATTTATCTTTTTTGCGTGCGCGTGTTGTATCTGTGAATTTTCTCACTGGATTCTGGTGTATCTCCAGTTTGCGGGCAGGAAGTATCCTTTTCCGCGCGAACGAACGAGATAAATGACAAGAATAATATACGGCGAGGTCGAAGAACGGCCTATATATTTCACTGTCACTTAGCCGAAAATACACGTCCCTCGAGGAAGCTTTTCATTGTTTTCCGAAAAGTGTAATACATTATTTGTATGAATAATAAGAACTTCGGTGAATCTCACAATTTCTGTTCACTTGCTTATTTCTCGATAATTTCAAGATAAAACAAAAAATTATAGGAAAGTTAGCCAGTGAGCAGAAAGTCCAGGAGAGTTGAATCGGATTTTGTACACAAAGCGACATACTTCTTCGAAAGCTAGCCATATTTTCTCCAGTGTGATATATTTCTGTATAACATTCAGCTTTTACCGTAACGAAATGTCTGATATTAATATGCTTTTTCTTGCGCGGGGTGAGGAGGATCGTTTGTAAACGCGTCGAGGACACGCGGGGCTTGGGTGCTGGCCGCGACGCATAGGAAGTAATCGAACCGATGGCGGAAGCGGACCAGAAGGGGTTGAGAAGCTGGCAAACTTCATAGTTCAACGGCTGTTTTATGTACTCTGCGGTTAGTACGATGGGTAGGAATTCCGTTTCTTGGACTCAATTGAACATTGCGGACTCTATTTTCCGTGGTAATCGAGATCTTCGATCGAGAAATCAAAATGAACAAAGAAAATTGCGGTCGCTCTGATAAGGCGGTAACGAGACGCTCTGGATGAGAATGATATCGGCTGAGCCTCCGGTTATCAGAGACGGTATCGTTTCCAGAAAGCGAACTTTCATGTAACCATAAGCTGGTTGAGTTTAGTCGAATACAATTTAAACTCAGCTACCAACCTCTTGCGGCTTCAATACCATTTACGTATTATCTGCATAAAAATGATTTCATTTTTTGAAGACAGCTTCTCGTAAAAACCTTTTAAAGCATCGGAAGGAAATAGATTTAGTGAGATTAGAGTATAAAGTGCAAGGAGAATTCAATCAATGGCACCGTTTCAATGAATATTGTACGTCTGTTTCTCTCTGGAGGATCGACGCTTCGTTATCCTGATCAAAGCTTAGTGTTAAACAATTAAGGATCTGTTCACCTGGTATTCGCATTTGAATTCATGCTCGAGGAAGGAGAGGCGTCTCAGTTCCCAGGACAGTTCGAATGCAGTTAGAATCGGATCCTTTGACGACAGAGCGATTAAGGACGGCGACGCGAGTGCTCTGTACGCGTTTATCCGGCTCCTGGAATGTCTCAGAGAATCTTGTTCTCTAGATTCCACGCAGTCATTGCACCTGCCGACACAGAAACGGTTACTGCAATCAATTTTCGTTTAACGGATCAGGTAGGTGTATACGAGATAACTTCCTCAAAAATAACTTTCCTATAATTACAATTGTAAATGTTAATTGAAAGTTTCGTTTCACGAACAGATATTGATTCTCAAGAATTGCAAGTAAGCGATGAATGGAAGGTACACCGCGTGGAGGAAGGGCTTCGCTCCGATTAAAAGTGACACGCAAGAAGATGGGTTTAGCATTTGCGTTGAATATTATTCAAAGGGTGGAATTTCATCCGTAGGGGGTTGAAGTCAGGGTTAAAGATGGCAACGCAGATACGAGAACCGTAATTAGTTAGCGTGGGCTTCGACTCGGAGATCGCGGGCATGCGTTGAATTAGGTCCGGGAGATTAATCAACGGGAAACGATGTACTTAACGAGCGTTTGTGGCCTTCCCTCTCGACCGCGGATTTATTTACGAATGGGACGGCATCGTAATTACGGGTTCATCGGTTCCGAAGATGACGCGACGACTCGCTTACCCGCAACGAACATCGTGAGGCATGGGCAATGTGGAGCCACGATCTAGGAGGATCTTGATGATCTCGTAGTTGTCCCTGTGCGCGGCCAGGATAAGCGGCGTGATGTCCGGCGTAAACGTGGCTGTGTCCGACGGCATGGCTTCCCAGCTCTAGAACAGTGTCCACGAAAACCGTATTACCTCAAATCAAGACAGATTCTACAGTCATTTTAGTACAGTAAATAAGTGTTTTCAATCCCTTAGTTTTATTATTGTATGCCACGTGTCAGGAGCTGGTAAAAAATATTTATGTTACTATTAAATAAGTTTTAAAAATTGTCATATAGTACGGAATGGAATATGTATGTATAAAATTGCATTTGATACGTGAGCTTTATCTACGTATTCTGTTCATTTTCCTGCTTCAATTCCCCTCGCAAATTCGAATTACACATTCCACAAACATTCGCAATTTAACGCTAACCGATACTGTGATCATCAGGGCGCGTAATTATTTCAAGTTCCGCGTAAGCCGATTCAGAGACGGTGAATGAAATCCGATTAAACCTCCCGTTGTCCCTTCCGATTAAACCTTCCGCGTCCCTTTTCTTTATTTCACTGTGTCCATTCGGCGCGAATTTCGGCGGATATATATATACATATATGTACTGGCTGTGAGAGTTTCTGAACGTCGGAAATGGGATTCGACCAGGCTTTCATCGAGGCTGATTCGGAAAAACTCTCGCCGCGTCGCATCAGGACGAACCTGATTAAAATGTGGGTCGACCTATTTGTCCCGGCGGAATCTACTTAAGCGGACCGGCTCGCGTCTCGCCTCGACGAGAAAATTAAGCTGGGACTTTCGATAACCGAAACGAAATCGGCTAACCGGAAAAGCGCAATCACTCTTTAATCATGAGACGAAAGTCTTTTGTCTTCCTTTAAGAACAATATGGGGTCATTTGTAAAGGACAGAATTGCATTACTTTCTTACTTTCAATTAATTAATGTTACAGTGATAAGGACGGAGTTCAGGAACAAATTAGATTAATGGTTTAATAATGTATTCGAATGTGCTAATAAGTCTGATTGGATTGCATTGAATATCTCCAAGTGAACTATTATACAGTCGGCGAGTAGGGAATAGAGAAAGTTAAAGTGTATTTAAGCTCTGAAATTACCCGAATGTGAGGCTCGCCGTTTCGATACCTCGCCTCGCGCTCCTCGTGCATGAGGAGCAGCTCGACCGCCTCGACGAATTCTTCGGAGATAGCGTGGAGAAGCGCGTCCTTCGTGTCAACCTTGTGCTCGATCAGAAGCTCCACCATTTCGAGATTTTCGTTATCGATCGCCATCAGCAACGCCGAACGTCCCAGCGGATCCATACAGTTGATGTTAAGTTTCGATCCTTCTGGGCTCAGATCGGCGGCTTGAGATGCTTGCAGCATCCTGGAATTAAAGACCCATTCCTCGGTGATAAGATATGGATAACCGATAGAAAAGTAGAAAACGACAACACGAGTTTGTGGGGATACTATTTCAAAAGAGTTTAGAGTGGTTTCATGTGATATCACGTCCAGCGTGTGCCTAACAAATTTTCATCAGTACGGGATGAAATCCCTCTTTAATCTCTCCTCTTTTTCATTTTAATTACATGCTCGCTACGTACAATTCTGGTCTGGGGAACGTACGTATATGTACACATATTCGTTGCCCCGTTTCCGCGTTCGACGCGAGCCAAATGAGAATCCCACGGACTCTGAAACTCGCTCGTACATCGCAATCGGTATTAATTGCATTGCACGGGGACGAGCATTGCCGCGTCGCGAAGAATTTCGGGAAGTTTCGGGATCGCATAGCCAGCCACGATTATCGTACAAGGTAATTAGATCCTTTGTCCGCCGGAACGAAGGATCGTACGGACGACGCGGCTTTGACCTTCTCCCGCCGCGAGATCTCTCTCACTCTCCACCGTCTCTCTCCCCTTTGGAATCACTGCGGCAGCAGCCCTGGAAATCCCGAACGAACCCTCCGTATCCACATCCACCTCGCGTGTACTGGCTCGTTTGCATGAAAGCCACGGATCGCAGTGCTTGCACGCGCCTCACATTTGTTCCTCCTTTCCTTTCAAATTAGCAATTGTACTCCCCGTTGAAAGCGATCGAAACAATACGTTGCTCGTATTAATTCTTTTTTTCTTGCGAATATTCATGTTCCAAATGCACTTTGCCACGTCCCGTTGCCACGTCTAATCCCGTGTCTCGACAAATCTTGTTTACACAATGTTCTCATGTAATTTATTCGCGAATTCGTCAGAGAAGCTTTTTAAAATTATTTCTCAATAATTACATTACGTTCAGTGTACCAAAAATCGTATTTCGTCAAATACTTGGAATGTTATCCCCGTACCATTTCCTATTTCCCCGTCACGTGCACACGTCTACGTTTCACTAAATTACGTTATCTTACCTTCTGACAGAGGCAACATCACCACGCTCCACCGCTAGCAGGTATTTCTTCTCCTCGACGGTCAGACTGGCCATCTCCTGATGCGGTCTCACCCCGTTCTTCTCCTCTATCATCCCATGGATACTGTGCCTCTGGAAACGTTCAACGACTTCTTGTTAACCCGGTTTCGAGAAATGAAAATATCCCCTGTCTTTTTTGTGAAATAAAATATCAATTTAAGGATTTACTTATTCTACAGATCTTCCAATTTATGCATTCATTTAGGAAAACGTGGTCTGCTTTAAACTGCTGAGCTCTCGATCACATCTCCATGTTAAATTACCTGTCACGATTTTCTTAACAAAAAACCTGGCAATTCCCATCCCGAAGAAATCGCGCTTATTCGCGCTGAAGTTCCGTTGAGAGATGGACGAAATTAAGATGATAAATGTACCGCGGGAGTCACCTCAGCTTCCTCCGTAAGCTCGGGATCAAAGAGGTGGTAGCGCGTCGCGGCGTCGTTCGATTTAAATCGAAATCGACCCCATCGAGTCTTGCGATGCGACGAGGAGTACGGGCTCGATTGTCGATGTTATTAAAGATCTTCAAGGTGTAATTCACGAGAAACTTTCCAGTTCCGACCTGGAAGTTGATACCTTGACGAGCTGCCAGCTAACTATGTTCCAGAACTTTTTCTAGCTGAGAGCGTGCGCAGGGATTACTGTTGTTTCCCTGCAATTTTCAACTTCCGCTAAGTTCACCGCCTTACTTAAACGAGCAGGGTTAATTCCAGGGGTCCTCGTTCGTTCAGAAGAGAATCGCTTATTATCACATTATCCATCGCTACTTTTGAAAACTAATAAGGCCTAAGCACGTTCGAACTTTTTATTACATCGAAACGGTCGATATTAATACCGACTGACAGGATACAAGTAGGAAATACATTGAATTGTTATGGACTAGAAAACGGCAGTTTTCACTGGCACCGTTTTAGGAGGCGTTCGTAGGCGTGGACGAGATCGGAGGTCCAGCTGGAATTGGGACGATCGCGAGAGTGGAGGACGAGCAATTAACGACTCGAATAGCCCGTCCATTGTTCGACAGTAGAATCCTCTCGTTACGACTGCCATTAGATTGCGGAACGGGGGAAAGAATAGCTCGGTGCAACACGTAAAGATCAAGCGTGAACGGGAACAATGGTACAGACTGACCACGGCGGTCTATTTAACGGCCAGTAACAACCGTTCTGCGCCAGCGTATACACTTCTGTAAATGAGACACCCGGGTTTCTTTTTACAACAGGGAAGGCGCAGATAAAACTGGAAACGGCAGGTGTTATCATTACGATGTAATTGTTTGTAGCACCGCTGTTATCGTTCATTCAATTATTCTTCGAGATAAAAGACATTATGAAATAACGATCGTATTATACAATAGTTAGTAAGCTTCCCAACGGAGCATTTGTGAGCGTCGGACGAGGCGGATATTGAATTAGGAATTCCTTTTTACTTCTTGCTATATCTCTCCAGATTGGAAAATAGAATGCGGTTCATTGTTTGACAATGAGTCGATGATTGTGAATGAAGCTCCATATCTTCCTTAAGGAGCTATGATAGAACATCCGTCGATTCGATTGATCTGTTTTTAGTCTGTTTTCCCAATAACCAGACAAAATAGTGCACAGTATCGGTTTCCTTTAGTCCTCAGAGAATCAAGACAGAATTCGTTTTAATGCCTAGTTTAAAGTACATACGACGTACGATTTCCCGGGTGAGACAGAAGTGAAACATCGAAACGAGATCTCGCGGCTAATACGAACGTCATCGGCAATTAAGAGCCTGCACGGTCCTAATCATAGAGTTAACCCGTGTCCTTTCGCCCGAAGGACATCAGTAAGGACGTGGAATATACGTAGGTGCAAAAAGTATTGGCGCACCCAATACAACGAGCCATTTTCTGATCAACTTTTTCACTCGATTCCCTTATTTTTATGTACTCAGTAATGTAATGAAATAATTGTGATGAAACATAAAACGACGGCGCATACGATATCCTTGAGCCTTGTTAATTAGCATTTAAATATCAGAATAAATAGATTAATGCGGCAATAATTTCGTAGCGGCGCATATTATATCTAGTCTCAGTGGAAAAGGGTCGGATATAAAGAAGTGGAGGAGGCTTGGCGGAGGGTTGATGGACAATGTTTGCCGTGGGTGTGGCGGCTCAACAATTAGGGGTGCGCCCTAGCAAACACTCATTCGCTGTCAGTGCCGGTCCTTGGCACAGTATGTCATCTTCTGCAACTAGAGAGGGGTAATCGCGAGCTTCGTATGCGAATATTCTCAGTGCGATCTACAACCACGTCTTCCTCTGGTGAAACTTCATTATTTTCTATCCCTTGGAACTTCATTGGGACGTTTATCTAGCCTCGTTTCATTGGCGAGCAATTATTGTGACGAGTTCAAGTTTTGACATGGTGTTCTCATGCATTGCGTGAACTCTGCTGTGCGTCGAAAGGAAGCTGGACGACACTCCGAATCAAATAAGATAGGGACAAATAAAGACTGAAAGATCACTTTTGATAGCTAATACAATGTGAATCGGAGCGAATACGACGTGCACGAATTCCAAGAAGAACGTTTACGAGACAACAGAGAGGGAACCTCGTTCGACGCTCTTGAAGGCATCGGGAAAACGTTTGAACGCACGAACGGAGCTGAATTATCGTTTGAGAAAATGCGTGAGGTAAAAGACTTGAATGTTCACGAACGCTCTTATATCCGATACGCTTATCACTCCGTCGCTACGTTCGTGGAAGCAACGGGATCGAGCTTTTACGAGGCAATAGAAATAAAAGTTCTCGGGCTTTACAAGTGTACGGTTGTGGTCTGTGCGAAACCTTTCTCCCTGTTTACTCATTTTCCGTCCCTCGAACTACAGGGTGGATGCTAAGGGAGTATGCGAGGTGGAGAAAATATAATACGAACGACGTTCTCGAGTTTCCCCTGTTCTCAGATTGTTTTTTCTCGATCGAATCCGCGATCATCGAAATAACGTCCAAGTTTCTCTCTCAATAGCAGTTACCTATCCGTGGTCTGACTTGGCCTGTGCAGATCCAGAGAATCGCGAGATATTCGCAGATCCCGGGAAATTACTTTCGACAATGCAATATAGAGAAGAGGGCTTTCGCAAATTGGATTAGCTATTTCGACTACTTTCTTCCATACCTCTTTTCATCCCATCGTTCCTCATCCGATTAAATATATTACATTCAATTTGAAATTCATCTTTATTTTATTCTTCGGAACGTTCGCGACGTTCTTTTTAGACAATCGCGACCTACCTTGACCTTCTCATAGCCCTTCTTCGGATGGGACGAAGGCTGCGGTGCCTCCGGGTCAAAGCTCACGCGGTGCCCACCCCGAATGAGACCGCCGCCGATGCTCGCGTCAGTATCCATCCTCAGAGAAGCGCTCGTGGAATCATCGTCTGCTGCACCACCGATTTCGTCGCCGACGCTGCTCTCACCAGGGGAACCCGCGCCCCCGGCCCCATACTCCTCATCTTTGTACGCGCTTTCTGAAACAAATTCCATGATTCAAACAAAATGTTCATATGTCTTAAGATCCTAAATTTAATAAGAATGTGCAGAAACGATGAATAAAAATCGAAGGGGGTACAAGTAGATAAAGTGTACCTGATAACAAATCGTGCACGGAATTGTCGATCGCGATCTTCATTACGTCAGGTGGAATCGCGACGCCGATGACAATGCAAATAATGAGGATGGTCGAGGAAGAAATGCACGGATGTAAGAGCGGAGGTGGACGAGGCGACCGACGCGACGCGACGCGACGCGATGTGACGCGACGAGACTGGATACACCCAGTTCGTAATCCGAAGGGATGATGGATCGGACACACTCACGCTTATTGGTTCACGCAGCAAACAGACACGCGTGTACCATCGCGACCGAACGGTCGACTGCAACTTTTGCGACTTAACTTTCGGGGCTTACGTCTTCTTTCCATCGATTGCGACGCAAAAACTAAATGGCTTTCGGTGTCGTACGGAACAAATTGACTTTAGTTTTAGTTTCGAATGACTCTTTTTACAATAAATTCTGATAGATTTTTTTATACGTTAAGTTCAATGATGAAATTTATGGAATTTTTTATTTCGAGAATTATTAAATATGATTCCCTTCGGAATATTATCTATTAGGTGTAATATACTTGTACCAGCACGTTACTCGCTTTGTGGCACGTTATATTTCATGTATGATCGCCAGCCCGCCTTTTGATCGTAAAATCATTATAGTTATGCCCACGCAACGAGTAGTCACGAGTATTGATAAAAGAGAAGATCGACGATCGGAAATTATTATTACTCCGGGGATTAAATATGTGTACGTATCACGAAGTTTCATTAGTTTATCGAACGTCATGCCGTTGCGGCTGGGTTGCGTAACCGTGATCGTTAGAAAGGCCAATGATTTACACAAACCAGGATGCATGCGTGCACCACATTTCACGCGAATCGACTCCGAGACGCAGGCCACGTGTGCACTGCCAAACGCAAGTCGAAGTCGAGAAATGACGATCCACAGTCCCAAAAAGCAGTGAAAATTTCATTGCTCCGTAACTAGCTTAATAATTTTATACTCTCCAGGAATTCTGTTAAATAGTTCATCACACGTTGTAGCGAGCTGTTAATAAACGGATACCTGAAATTTCTCATTATTAAATAGGAGAAGTTTGTGTCGAGACACGTGCCTGACGTAGTCGAACAGTTTTCCAAAGCAATATCGATAATGAAACGGGCGAGGTCGTGTATAGTATTTAACGTCCGCGCGGAGAGTTCGAACATTATCCAAGATCGCAGACCGTTATGAGGAACCGTTTTACGTTCGATGAAATTCCCTTCGGCTCACAAACAAAAATAAAACGAGCCTTTATTTCGGAAGCCGGACTAAATTTTATTCGACTCGAGCTTGCGTTCGATTAGTTCTATTATCGCAGCAGGATTATTTTCCACTGAATGCTGAAATTGATCTTATTTTTCGTGCATCGAACTAACTTTTTTTATCGATTATCGTGGATCGTGGTCGAATAAATTTTATTGCCGTCGTTACGCTCTCGCGGATTATTTTCATTGAAGGAAAGTTGGCTCGGTTGTGCGAACATTGGACTCAATAATCGAGAGAAAGAAAACTTCTAGGAAAATGAGCATCCAGAGAATGCGCGTTGGAAAATTCAAACAAAAAACAGTAATTTTTCGTCGATGCAACGAGAAACGTGTTACAGTGCGGAAATTGTCTTCCCATTATCGTTCGGTTTCCGAAAATTGCGAAGAATCGCAGGATTTTCGATTTACCGCGGGGAAACGAGAGACGCGTCGCTGTCGAGACGTTTAATCGATTCGCACATTTGTGTATTCTTCCGAAAAGTCAGACTTCAGTAGCCTGGAGGAAAAGTTTCAGGCAGTTTCTTAATATCCCTGGAACAAAAACTTTAAGAGCAACAGTTTTCGCATCACGTCGCGAGTTCGCAAAAACCTCCGAGAGAAACGACTGCTTTTTAAATACGTTCGAAAGCATTCAATCCGCTGGGAAGTCAACCCGAAAGAACGTACTGGATCGGATTTGCATGGAACGAGGTCGCCGGTACAAAACCGTTTCAGAATTGATTTCTCAAACTGTTTTCGATAATTATTGTTTCATACTCTTTCTTCTATATTACGAAACAAATATTAAAGCAACTCGGCCTGTGTAGAAGAAAATTGAGTCTTTTGCTTGTGATTATTTCATAACAAATTCAATTTCTTTTTCCCGTTGAAAAGGAAGATACCAAAACGATGTACATCAGATTTGGATTAAAACGAATATCCTATTACAAGAATTGAATTATTATATGACGTACTTTTCTCAAACAGCATCTCACGATAATTGTTTCAGGTTTTCCTTTGTACGAGAGGAAGGATATTAAAAAGTGAAGTACCAGAGTCGCAAAGGGGTACCGAGTGGTAGGTTATCTGCTTGAGGTTGGAACTTCGACCTCGCACGGGTCGTTGAGCTTACCGCGAATCGCGTGTTTCCACCGGTGGCTAGATCGATAAGCCTTTGCACGTACGTGTGTGGAAACATGCATGGAGGATGAAATTGTTGGATAGGCGACTTTCGTGTTACACGACGTGTGCGAGTCGGATCAAAAATAAGCTTCGGCACGCTGACGCTCGATGTGTGAGAGTAATAAGAATTTTCGGCAGACTATTCTCGAAATCGATGGTCACTAACTAGGAATTCGTGCAATACGTTTTGAATTGTTCCCTTGTTGCTCAGTTGATTTCATTATTCTTATACCTCGCAGGAGAACTTTGGATTATATCCATGAACTCATTTTTCCTCGTTTTACGATCCCCCTGGGTCGCACTTCCGGTACTTTACTCTTGGCAGAGTTTACAAGAAATTTCATAGAACTATCTCTGCTTCACTTCCGAGTAAAAACATTTCTCTTATTTCCATTTTTCAGAATTGAATCATTAATAAGCGACAAGCGCGAATCCTTCTATGCTCGCTTTAAACAACTCACGAGGGGATTGTAATGGAAGCAGTAACGATATTATCTGTTCGATATTATGTGTATATTAGCATCGTTGATTCGTTAATGGGTGGAACCGCGTCGTCACAGTTTCAGAATCTGTTAGTTAACCAACGATTAGACGCAGGCAGGAGTCGCAGGTTGGGTTATAACGGCGGTAGCCTACGCACCTGTTGCATATTTTGTATGTACCTGTTTCACGGAATCTGAGCCGTGCTAGTTGAGATGAGTTAACAGATACAGGAAAACTTCACCCCCTTATACTTCTATGCGATTCTTCTTCTTAAAAAATTAATCCTTACTTGTTCCTCTTTTCCTCTTTAAAGAGATGTAGTTCCGGTACACTACGTTGTATTTCGTCTAAATAATTCTGCTGATTTTAAATCAGCTAATGCTTGAATTTTCAAACTGATAAAATTTGACGTAAAAGTTTATAATAATGGATGAAAATTTAAACTTGATAAACAAACATCGTCTTCCATGCGATTCACTGGTGATCCATCTTAAACGTCTAACAAAATACATTATTCAGTGTGCTGCATCTTTAAGCCGAAGGAATTATAGGAGAAAAATAGATTTGAGTTTTGATTATGTTAGGAGTATTATCATTACGATTTGGTAGTCGACTAGCATAGTCGATGGGAATCGAAATAATTGTAATTGTCTGTCGAGCAAATTATAATGATAATGCAGTTCTGAGGTTGATAATCTAGCTATATGTGATATACTGATGGTACATTAGCTTGGATAACACTGGCATAAACTGCAATTACGATTTTGCGTGGCAGCAAGTTGTTCGTTATTATGAGAGGAAATAGTGCCTGGTCCCTCAAGGGCTCAGTGTGTTACATGGTAGCGTTCCGGGTGAAAATTGGGGGAACACGCGGCCTGGAAAATGCTCCTCGAAATACCGAAGAATTATGCAATAATTCTGGGTAAATGGGCTCGCACGCGATTCCGTAATGGAGAAAATTAGCGTAGCGAGGCCCTACGGTCGGCGAACGATCGAACGTCTGTTCGCTCGTGTGCGATTCCACGACTGAATTCGCCTGTAATTACCCGATCGTGTGCGTGCGCGCATACATAGCGAAGGCGAATGCACGAGAACGAATAGTCGACACGGAAGGGTACAGCCGGGGCCTAATCGATCAAATCTGTAAGAGACGTTCCCAATTACGATTCGGCTAATAGTTGCCAATTTTCCTTCGCGTCGTTTCACAATCGTCCAAATCGTGGCGTTACCAACACGAGATTGAAGTGGTTATTAAATTATTAACATGAGGACATAGAATAATAGATTTATATCGTATTTCAATCTCTGAGAAGCAGAGATGATAAATATTGTAAAATTGAGGGTATTAATAATTTTTGTTCATATAAATTTTTAAGTGAAAGTTCTTTTCTTTGTTCCCGACATTTTCGGGATCGTCGATCTTTAACCTCTCGTAAACGTCTACAGCAGCCATTATAGAGAGATTTACCCAACATGAAACCACTAATAGAATAACAATTTCGCCTTCAAAGGCAGTTAATGCCTGTTCGTATTTCCCTTGAACTGAAACCTCGTAAACCAAAGATGTTCGCATAAATCAACGTCAAAGTCATCATTCCGTTTTCATTCTTCTACTAAATTCAAATGATCATTTATTCTCTTATGAAACCATAAGGATAAAGTGATTATTACTACTAAAACGAGGTTTAATAAGCGACGATTTGAAGAACGTCTGAAAGATAAACGAAGACAGCCGGATTTATTGGTTTCTCTATGTACCAAAGGCTGTACTTATTGTATTTCAAGCTAGTGCTGGTATCCTTCTTGAATGAAGAGTCGAGGAACGAGAGGACTTGGAGCAAAAAAACACGTCGTTATTACTTCGCTAATTGAAATCGCTCGGTCAGTGAACGTAAACCGAGTGCACTGGTTTCCAGGCTCTACACGGCTGCAGTTTATACAAGTTTTCTCGTAACCACGCCTGTCAA